AATTCATTTTTAAGCCTTCTTGTTTTGTACATATCTTCAAAATTCTATGAACATGTGTGTGTTTTTTTGTGTTTCAGCATGAAATGTCTCGTAAGTTTAACTGCTCCATCTACAATAGTTGGGTTAAATCCTCTTTCAACTGCTATATGTTTCATTAAAAACAATTCATTTTTAAGCCTTCTTGTTTTGTACATATCTTCAAAATTCTATGAACATGTGTGTGTTTTTTTTTGTGTTTCAGCATGAAATGTCTCGTAAGTTCATCCCTGATGATCACATGGAAAACGTCGAATAATGTAAGAGTCAACATTTTAAAGGTCATAGATTGGCCTGAATTAAAAAGTTTTTAATGTATTTTAACATTGAGTATTATTTATTAATTATTTAAACAATATCAATAAAATAGGGTTTGAGGTTTACTTCAAACTTTATGTTACTATTGTTTTTAGATGTGTATGATTTAGAAACCAGACGATAATTATTCTATACAAATTGAGCAAAAACAATTAGAATCAGCATTCATTAATATTGACATTTTAAACAATAATTTTCCCCTTTATATGGATATTGAAACAACTTATTGAATTCATGCACGATATTACCTAAAAACATTCCATTTGGGCCCGGAATGGCCAGGTGGTTAGGGCACTCGACTCGAAATATGTGGGTCGCGGGTTCGAATCCCCGTCACACCAAACATCCTCGCCCTTTCAGCCGTGGGGGCGTTGTAATGTGACGGTCAATCCCACTATTCGTTGGTAAAAGAGTTGGCGGTGGGCAGTGATGACTAACTGCTTTCCCTCTGCTAAATTAGGGACGGCTAATGCAGATAGCCCTCGTGTAGCTTTGTGCGAAATTCATAACAAACCATTATATTTTTCTTTTAAAACGTTGTGACTGAAATCGTATTTTTAAGCACTGATCTCAATAATTGTAAAATATTTGATTGATTTGCCTCAAAAATGACGTGGAAGATGCTGAGCACCGACCAGGGATCAGTTTGTTGTGTTTTAGGTGAAAGGCTAACAAAAAACAAATCTTCATTATAATTTACCTCTTGAACAGCAACGTACAACCAACTTTAAAAATTACCCTTTAAACACTTAAAGTTGATGAAGCATCGGAAACAAACGGGTATAAAATGTGTGCTAATAATCTCATAAGTTGCGTGTTTTGTCCAATTCGTTTTAAGTTGTCCATTTCGGTTTCAAAATCGGTGGACTTTTTACCTTAGGGGGAAAATACATTTGCAGCTTACGTGATTTTTTCACAAAGTTTATACAGTTAACTTGCATAAAAACATGCTCTTCCATAATGGACGTATATTTTCATTATCTGTTTGGTTTGAATAAATCTGTAACTGACACATAACAACACCTTCTTCCACTATGAGTATTGATAATTGTGTTCTCTCTGACTTGAATATATCTTTAACTGACACATAACAACACCTTCTTCCACTATGAGTATTGATATTTGTGTTCTCTCTGACTTGACCATATCTTTAACTGACACATAACAACACCTTCTTCCATTATGAGTATTGATAATTTGTGTTCTCTCTGACTTGAATATATCTTTAACTGACACATAACAACACCTTCTTCCATTATGAGTATTGATATTTGTGTTCTCTCTGACTTGAATATATCTTTAACTGACACATAACAACACCTTCTTCCACTATGAGTATTGATATTTGTGTTCTCTCTGACTTGAACATATCTTTAACTGACACGTAACAACACCTTCTTCCACTATGAGTATTGATATTTGTGTTCTCTCTGACTTGAATATATCTTTAACTGACACATAACAACACCTTCTTCCATTATGAGTATTGATATTTGTGTTCTCTCTGACTTGAATATATCTTTAACTGATTTAACAACACCTTCTACATCACTGGTATTTATGTTCTCTCTGACTTGAATAAATCTTTGACTGATGTAAGAACACTTTCTAGGTCATTCGTATTGGTATTTGTGTTATTTCTGGTTTGAATAGTTTGTGAATGGTATTAACAACGCCTTATTCCATCATGGATACTGGCATTTGTGTTCTCTCTGGTTTGAATAAGTTTGTGAATGGTATAACAACGCTTTATTCCATCATGGATACTGACATTTATGTTCTCTCTGGTTTGAATAAGTTTTTGAATGGTATTAACAACGCCTTATTCCATCATGGATACTGACATTTATGTTCTCTCTGGTTTGAATAAGTTTTTGAATGGTATTAACAACGCCTTATTCCATCATGGATACTGAC